TTGTTGGCAGCAATTCAAAGGAGAGAAAGGTGGGTGCTTATCTCGAGCAACTATTTGGGACTCATTACCAGCTTGGGAATGAACATAATTCCCAGCGTTGAAATAAAAAGAGAGTTGTTTGGATTAAGCGTGGGCTTAATTTTGGTCTCAGGAAGCCTTGGTCAGAACAGTAGGATGGAAGTTGTTCCCAGTAAAACCGCCTTTTGCAATTGACTGGTGGCGAATTTGTCAATACTGAAGGTGTTCAAGGGACGCTCCAGTTGTTTTGCGATTGTTCCCAAGGCTGTTGGTCCTCCTCTTGCTTGCTTTTCCCACAGTCGTTCTATTTCTATTTGCAGGTCCTTCTAGCTTGTGATCTTCTCCAGTTATTTCTCTTCACTTCTGCTGTCTCCAGGAAGGCACTGCCACGTCCACTATCCAAACTTTTTTTGTCTTTCTTATCGGCAACTGTTAAGTCCGGCTTGTTATATGTAGCAGGAGCCTGTCTGTCCGAATTCTAAAGTCTCAGAGCAATTTAACTTCTTCATTTTCTATGATTTTTCTCTATTTTATGGTCCCACCAGTTCTTGCTTGCAGCCAAAGGTTGTTTCTTGCAGAACTTCCAATGCACCATTGTTGCTACTTTGTCATGCTGCTGCTTGTAGTCGGTCTGGGCGATCTTGTTGTAGTCGGTCCGTGCATCATCATCATCATCATCATCATCATTATTATTATTTTATTATTATTATTATGTCCTCGGAAGTTGTGGAAGCACCATCACTGGAGACTTTCAAGAAGAGATGACTGCCATTTGTCAGAAATGGTGTAGGGTCTCCCACTTGGGCAGGGGGTTGGACTAGATGACCTACAAGGTCCCTTCCAACTCTGATTATCTGTTGTTGTTGTTGTTGTTGTTGTTATTATTATTATTATTATTATTGTTCATCGCGCAAACAGGCAGATGTTCAGACCAGGTTTGGCATTTTTGTCGACCTATCGAGTCCTCTCCGAGGACCTGGGATAGGCAGAGGTGGGCGTTTGATGCTTGTACAGATGTGGTCGCGGGATGGAAGCTGTTCCCAGTAAAACCGCCTTTTGCAACTGACGGGTAATGAATTTGTCAATGCCACTGATGTTCAAGGGATTGCACCCAAGGCAAACAGTCCCAAACCAGTCATTCAGGTCATGGCTTTTTTAGCTACACAATTTGGGATGAACACCCTTTGGATGGTGTGGGAATAGGAATGGATTTCCAGAGGGAAAAATTGCACACTACAGGAACCCTTGGCACCACTCAGGTGACCCTGAGGACACAGATAAACCTCCTCTTAGCTGATTGCTTGCTGCAGGCCTCAGCTAGCGTTTGGAAAGCTGCGTGCGCAGTCACCAAACCCGTAGTGGAACAAGTAAGATCCCAGTGCTGCTCAACGACCCTCTCAAAGGATGCAAATGACCAGCTTTGTCTGCAAGGAGTATCCATCCTTCCATTCCCCACCATCCAGTCAGAGCTGAAGAAGCTTCTTGGAGGAGAAGCGAAACGTCTTCAAAAGAAAAAACAAAAAAGTCCAGTTGCCTCTTGGGGAAAATAAAACCAGCTCTGGACTTTCTGTTTTTTTTCTTTCGAAGAGGTTTCGCTTCTCCTCCGAGAAGCTTCTTTACTTCTGAGGTAAAGTTGAATCGCACAAGTGAACTGAAGAAGCTTCTCAGAGGAGAAGCAAAACCTTTTTTGCAAAAACCCCTCAGAAAGTCCACTTGCCTCTTGGAAGGGAAAAAAAAAAAGCAGCTTTGGACTTTCTGGTTTGTCTTTCGAAGAGATTTCGCTTCTCCTCCGAGAAGCTTCTTCACTTCTGAGGTAAAGTTGAATCGCACAAGTGAACTGAAGAAGCTTCTCGAAGGAGAAGCGAAACTTCTTCAAAAGGAAAAAGAATAAGAAAGCCCAGTTTGCCTCTTGGGGAAAAAAACAAACATCTTTGGGACAACCAAGACTGGGAGGATGGAGAATTTCTACTGACTTAAAGGCAGCTTTACTCCGTGACGGTTTATTTATATCCTGGCGACCATCAATTTTGTTGTGAATTTCATTGTATGCATAGTCTATATATACGTACAATGACAATAAAGCATTCAATTCATAGAATTCAATTAAATCAAACACCTGGCAGTGCCAGCTTCTTCAGATAGGTAAATAACGATGCCAAATCCAGTCTCAACATCTAGCTGACTGCAAAACCAAACCTTAACCCTAGAAATCTCCTAATATAGCCAGCTCAGTGCCTGGTTTTTTTTGTGTTTTTGTTTTTTTTGCAGGATCTGCCTCTCTGCACAGATTTTGTGTGTGTGTGTGTGTGTGTGTGTGTGTTTGTGTGTGTGTTTTTAAAGCAATTGCTAAATGACCCAGGGAGTGAGCTGCTGCTGCTGTTCCGCTGGATTTGCACGAAAAATTTCAAGCATTGCTCCAACTTGCAACTCATTAAAGTATCTTAGGAGTATTGTACTCCCCTTGAACAAGTCCTCCCTTGAATTCAATCCGTTGAGATGTGCTGGCAGCGAGGAGGAGGAAAGTGGGGGGCGGGGTTTCCTCGCTAATCCTGGCCGCAGGGGAGGGGGCTGGGGAGCAGTGTCGGCCTCCCGTCCCCCTCCCCAAACCCAGGGAGGGCTGGTCTCATCCATGGGGCTCAGTTTCAGATGCCAGATGTTTGCAATCCCCCAGCAATGCCAGGAATTCGAGCGGGGGGGGGGGGGGGGGGGGGGGGGGCGGCATTCCAGAAGTCCTTTGCTGGCTGGGTGGGTGGGAGTGGGGGAGACAGAAGCAGGAAGACCCCAACTCTTTGGGGGGGCTGGTCCGCTCCAGGCATCCCTCCTGGAAGCTGCAGGAGGAGCAGCAAAAAAAAAAAAAAAAGCGGGAAGCAGCCCCTCTTCCATGGTCTGAAAGAAAGACCCTCCTCAAAATGGAGCTTTCATTCCTGTCTACCCATTTAACACCCCTCCCCCCCAATCAATCCACCCACCCCTTTCCAAGGAGCAATTATGGGCAGGTGGATTTAATAACATTCTTTAGGAGCCGCTTCTTGGTTGTGGAAAGATACACAAGCACACTGCACACACACACACACAGACAACACACACACAGGGGCACTAGCAGATCTGGGATTCAAAACAGAGCTTCTCTTAAAGCAGAGGTCTCCAAACTCGGATGTGTAGACACACGTCTTAAAGGGGCCAAGTTTGGGGACCCTGTGCCTTAAAGCAGATAACACATAACTGATAATCAGAGTTGGAAGGGACCTTGTGGGTCATCTAATCCAACCCCCCGCCCAAGCAGGAGACCCTACACCATTTCTGACAGAGGGCAGTCCGGTCTCTTCTTGAAAGCCTCCAGGGATGAAGCTCCCACAACTTCCGAGGGCAACTTCTGTTCCATGGGTTGATTGTTCTCACTGTCAGAAAGTTTCTCCTTATTTCCAGGTCGAATCTCTCCTTGTTCAGTTTGCACCCATTATTCCTTGTCTGCCTGCTCTTCTCTGCACTTTTTCTAGAGTCTCAACCTTTTTTTTTTTTTTTGTAATGTGGTGACCAAAACTAGATGCAGAATTCCAGGTGTGGCCCTAGTAAGGATTTACAAAGCAGTACTAAGATTCCATGTGATTTTTTATCAGAATTTAGAATAGAATAGAATTTAGAATAGAATAGAATTTAGAATAGAATAGAATAAAATAGAATTTAGAATAGAATTTAGAATAGAATAGAGTAGAAAAGAATTTAGAATAGAATAGAATAAAATTTAGAATAGAATAGAATTTAGAATAGAATAGAGTAGAATAGAGTTTAGAATAGAATAGAATAGCATTTAGAATACAATAGAATAGAATTTAGAATACAATAGAATAGAATTTAGAATAGAATAGAATTTAGAATAGAATAGAATAGAGTTTAGAATACAATAGAATAGAATTTAGAATACAATAGAGTAGAATTTAGAATAGAATAGAATTTCTTTCCTCCCTTTCTCCTCCCTCTCTCCCTCCCTCTCTCCTTCCTCCTTCCCTCCCTCTTTCCTTCTATCCTTCCTCCCTTCCTCCCTGTTCTTTATTCCTTCTCTTTTCTCTCCTTCCATCTTCTTTCCTCCCTCCCTCCTTCCTTATCCTCCTACTGACTCTCGTCCTTCCTCCCACAGTCCCGTCCTGCGGCATGAAGTGCCTGAATGGGGGCAGCTGCGCCGAGGAGGCCTGCCTGTGCCAGAAGGGATACACCGGGAGCCACTGCGGCCAACGTGAGTGCCAAACCAGGGACAACCAGGGTCAGCATCCCACCCCCCCACCCCCATGGGCACCCGTGGCCAGAGGTGCCAAATTCTGGGGGGGGGGGGAATCAATGCCCTCCCCGAAATTAGAACCAGCCACATTTCAAGCTTATTTACTGAGTTATTGAATTTCCTCTCTCACCCAGGGGTGGGCTTCAAAAAATTTAGCAACCGGTTCTCTGGGTGGGTGTGGCCATGGTGTGTGTGGCCTAGTCGGCCTCCTCCACCATGGTGGGAGTGGGTGTTTTTGCCCTCAATGGGCTCCAGAGGGTTTTCTCGAGAGTCTGGGAGGGTGAAAATGGCCTCCCTGGCCTGCAGAGGCTCGGTGGAGGGCCGGAAACGGGCCCGTTTTCGCCTTTCCCAAGCCTCTACTCAGGTCTTACACTTACCTGCAATCCAAAATGGGCCACCTGGGGAGTCCGGGGAGGGGAGGGGAGGGATGGGTGGGTGTCAGGTTTCCAAGTGATGAAATTCATTTTAAAAGAAAAGAACAAAGTCCATCTTTAAAAAGATTTCTTTGATTTAGGAAAGCATCCGATTGGCAAAGTCCATGGTAATTCCAGATCTGACCCAACCCGGAATTGCCCCACGATATTAGAAGTTAGAAACACCCCCCCAAAAGTCACATTCTCCAATAGAAGTAATTCAACATTGCTTGATGTCATAAATCTCCACCTCAAGGGGCCTGAAGAGGTTCAGCTCATTTTCCCACGGGAAGAAGAATCACCTAGCCTAAACAATTTTCCCTATCTCCACTCCTCCCACCCTAGGAATGTGTCAAACCTGAAACCCTTCCCCCCACATGACTGCCACAGAGAAAATAAGAAAAAGAATATATACTAAGACAAACTAAAATGGCTACACTTATGTCAATTTTGGGCTTGACAGTGGGGCCAGCCTGCTGTTGCAACTACCAGTTCGCTGAACCAGATGTAAAATTAACAACCAGTTCGCCCGAACCGGTGCGAACCGGTAGCAGCTCTTTCCCTGATTCCACTCGGTTGTGTACGGAACAATACAACCGAGGGCCCGGCCACTTTTGACGAAAGCATTGGGTGCGAATTCTGTGATCCCCTGGTGCCCATCTAGGGGAAGCCACAGTGGCATCCCACATAGGAGGGGTGTCGCAGGCCCTAATGTGGCCAACACACCTAACAGTATTGGCGTCAACAGGTGCGATGTTCCTCCTTCTGGATTTGCAGCTAACTCTTCCAATCAATCCATCACAGATCGTCCCCGACGTTGCTTAGTGACCATTCGAAGTTACGACGGCACTGAAAAAAAGGGACTCCAGACCCTTTTTCACATTTAATGACCGTTCAGCATGCCCATACGATCAAACTTCAGGTGCCGGGATGCTGACTCACACTTACGACAGTCGCAGTGTCCCTGTGGGGGTCATGGGACCCCACCTTTTGTGACCTTCGGACTAGCTTAGTCAAGAGGGAAGCCGGATGGTGGCAAGAAAGGTGGCAAAATGGGGGGAAACGGCACCGCATGGCTGTCTCGTTTAGCAATGGAAAATTTGGTCGTAAGTCAAGCCAAACCGCCTGGAATATTCACACAAACAGAAAGGCCCGAGTATCAGGTGAATAATCAACTGATAATAATTAAATAATAATTAAAATGCCCCCTCGTGATAGATGGATACCATTTTTCTCTTCTTCACGTCTTCTCCTTCCAAGATCGAAAGGTTTTTCCAATCATACGTACAGGTAGTCCTCGACTTATGACCAGAATAGAGCCCAACATTACTGTTCCTCAGTGAGACTGTCATCAAGAGAATTTTGCCTCATTTTAGGACCTCTCTTGCCACGGTGAAGCACGGCAGTCGTTAAATTAGTAGCCGTTCTTCAATGAATCCTGCATCCCCCCCTGGTCTTGGCTCATCAGAGTTGGAAGGGACCTTGGAGGTCTTCTAGTCCAGCCCTCTGCATGAGCAGGAGACAATATACCATTCCAGACAAGTGGCTGTCCACTTCTCAAAAGCCTCCAATGTTGGAGCATCCACAACTCCTGGTGGCAGGCGGTTCCACCGGTGAATTGTTCTCCCAGTCAGGAAATTCCTCCTTACTTCTGGGTTGCTTCCCTCCATGATTAGTTTCCACCTGTTGCTTCTTGTCCTGCCTTCAGGTGCCTTGGAGAATAGCTTGACTGCCTAGTGGTGGGATTCAAAAATTTTCACTACCGGTTCTGTGGGCGTGGCTTGGTGGGCGTGGCCATGTGACTGCGGAAAACTGGGCTTTTTCCTTTTTTTGCTTTTTTGCAGCCACCACCTGTTTTTTTGAGCCACCTGGGCCTCAGAGGAGCCTCTGGGGCGGCATTTTTGCTCCCCTAAGGTTCCTCTGAGGCTCAGGAAGGCAAAAAATGGAGAGGGTGGGGCTGAGCCATTTTTTTGGCTTCCTGGGCCTCAGCTAGGGGAATCCCGGCACAGCTGATCTATGTACAACTGATTTTGGGGAGGCGGGGAAAAAAGAGAAAGAAATGCCTTAGTCAAGTGGTGGCTAACCTTTTTGGGCTCCTGTGCCAAAAATTGTGTGCGCGCTTGCATGCTCGGACTCATGTGACAGCACCCAGAAGGCAATGTACGCCCCCTACGCGTGCATGCACAATCGTCACCCACCCACCCCCTTACCTGCACTGTCCCTCACAGCTGATTTTAGGCCAGTTTAAGGCCTTTTTCGGCCTCCCAGAGGCTTGAGGGAGGCTTCTGCAGGCTTTGCAGGCCGAAAACTAGGCCCGTTTCGTCACTTCCGGTATTTTCAGAAAAACAGGAAGTGATGAAACGGGGCTAGTTTTTGGCCTGCAAAGCCTGCAGAAGCCTTCCCGAAGCCTTTGGGAGGCTGAAAAAGACCTCAAACCCACCGAAAATCAGCTGTGCGGCGTGCACATGCGCAGTGAGGTAAGTTTGCCTACAGCTTGCGTGCCCCCTGTGGCACGTGTGCCATAGGTTTGCCATCATGGTCTTAGGCAGGAGGGTGGGGTGAAGTGAGCATCAGGCGGGAGGGGGATCGGGTTGGGGGCGTGGCCAGCCAGAAGTTACTACCAGTTCGGCAACCCACGCCAAATTCTTGCTACTGGTTCATCCGATCCGGTGCAAACCGGCTGAATGCCACCACTGTGACTGCCTCTTAGGTTGATCCTTGCCATGACTATAACAAGTGAGTCTTCTGAAATCCCACCCCCTACACGCATCCCAAAGAGGCACTCCAAAGCCCATCTTCCTGGGAATCCTAGCTTTGGTCCAAACTCATCTCTTGATATCTGTCTCTTTTTCCCACCCAGCCATCTGCGAAGGAGGGTGCCAAAACGGGGGCCGGTGCATCGGGCCCAACCGCTGTGCCTGCGTATATGGATTCACAGGACCCCAGTGTGAGAGAGGTAGGCTGGCCAACCCCATTGGAGTGCAGTCCTAATTATCCTCCGAAGTCTGTGTCTGTCCTGTTGGGTTGCAGAACCAAACCAGACAATCATAGAGGTGCAGATGACAGACTCAATAATTCCTCTGTAGAACTGGATCAGCAGCTCCTTGGGCAGTTGGCACAGAAAGAACTTTCTTTGTTGGTCTTTTTTGATGACGTTTTTGATGTTAGGTGTCCATTTTAGGTCATGTGATATAGTAGACTCTAGAAATTTGAAGGTCTCTACTGCTGGTACTGTGTTGTCTAGTACTGTCAGAGGTGGTAGTATGGGAGGTTTTCTTCTAAGGTCTACCACCATTTCTATGGTTTTGAGTGTGTTCAGTTCCGGATTGTTCCGGTTACACCACGAGGCAAGTTGTACAACCTCCTATCTGTTTGCGGATCCATTGTTGTCTCGAATGAGACCAAACACTGTTGTGTCATCTGCAAACTTCAGTATTTTAACAGATGGATCGTTTGAGATGCAGTCATTGGTATATAGGGAGAAGTGGAGAAAGTACACAGCCTTGGGGGGGCCCTGTGCAAATTGTATAGGTGTCAGGTGTGATTCTGCCTAGCTTCACCTGCTGCTAAAGAAAGGCTTCAATGCTTGGGTAGCGACCCCAGTCCTGGTGTCATGCCCTTGTTGGAGTCTGACTCCGAGGGAGAGATGGAACAACGGACAGAGATTGGGAGTGTGGCTCCGGTGGTTGTGGAGGAAACTGGGGAAGGACACAGGCCGGATGGGCAGTCAGAGGAAGACCCAGGCCCATCCCCTCTTCATCCTAGGGCACGCAGGGAGGAGTGAATAAGGGAGAAATGTGAGTGGCATGGTCTATGGGGGAGGAAGGGGCCCTGATCTCCTTCATGGGCTGCAGCTGGGCGGACTGGTTAAAAGGACAAACTGCTCATGGCAAAGTTGCTGGAAGCAAAGCATGCATTCTTGTCTCAGAGCTTATCTGTGTTTTGGCTTCCTCCCAACTGTGGTTGCTGCAATATCTGGTAGAAGTCTGCAATTAATCATCCTTGCCTGCCGTAGTAATTCCTTCAGTGTGGTGTGTTGGTTTTTTTTTTATTTCGAATTAACTTTGGGTGCGGACTGCATTTCCTCCCTCCGTAAACTGTTTTCTTTAAGAGTTTGATATCCTGCCGAGGATAATTGGACATTGGGGCCAAGTTGGAGGCATGAAAGGGACTTTCTTCTATTTTTGTGACTTGGTTATTGTTGTGTCAAGCCCCGGGTCATCACACCTGGGCTGTAGATCCATAGGTATTTTTGTCAAGAAACATTGAGATTTCTGGCTCCAGGTTACAAACCTGAGCGAAGGGTTTGAGGTTTTGAATGCAAGAACGTTCAGCGTAGCCGGGGAGTGACGGAAGAACTCCAGCTAGATGCTGTGAGCCATCTGCAGTCTGGGTTGAACTAAGATAACCAAAACCAGCTCTCTGTTTTCCCGAAAATACGACCTACCCCCAAAATAAGTCCTAGCTTGATTTTTTTGCACGTGCACCCAATATAAGCCCTAATTAAGATCCCACCCACTCCAGAGTGGACGGGTACAAATTAAGCTACAGTGAGGATGGGTGGGTGGGTGTAGCTGCCCTATTACTTTCCTTTGGACAATGGTAGCTAGGTCTCGCATACCCCAACACCTGCCTTTCCAGCCCATTTCTTCTGCCACCAGCAAGGCTTTCCTGAAGGCCTCTGGAGCTGAGAACAAAGCTCTGGATCGATCCAGAACTCTGTGATGGGATACAGAAACCTTCAGGAAAGTCTTGCTGGCCACAGAAGAAGAAGTTCCTTCAGCGAAAAGGAGGCCGGGGGAACGACGCACGGAAGTGACGTTAGTCAGTGGATGGCATCCCCCGAAAATAAGACCTGGTGCCTTTTTTGGTGGCGAAAAAAAGTATAAGACAGGGTCTTATTTTCGGGAAAACACAAGTATAGATATTCACACCATTTACCTGCAGGATAGAAGCAAGGAGCTTTATAGAAATAGCCCCCCTTCCAGACAGTCCTCATTTTCAAGACATCGAGAGAGGAAAAAAAAAAAAAACCTTAGATGAAATGCCAACGAAACAAAAATAGAAGCCTGAATCCAATCCATGTGTACTTTGAATGAACCGTGTGTAGAATTGCTCGGCGGGGCGTCCGCTCTCCTTGCTTGCTTTCCAGCAAGCCTTAAGCCCCTCGTTAAAAGAAGGAGAGAATCAAGATGATGTGAGGTTCTACTACCGCTTTGCAAATCCTTAGTAAGGGCAC